GCCTACATCCCAGCTCTTGTATGCAAAAATAAATAAAATAACTTTTTAAAAAATAATAACTCCTTAATCCATGGAGTTGGCTCATTTCAAATGAACATACTTTTGCATGGTGTCAAGGAAAGGTCCTCCTTTCTCTTCTTTCTACATTTTCAGTCCATTGTCCAGGACGGGTCATCCCTCTTCTGCCGACTCGTCGCGCCTCCCCAGTCCTGTGCCGGGGCCCTTGCTCACTTCTCTCCAGACTCTCCTGTCGCTGCATGGTTTGCCTGTCGTGTCCGCACACCTTCCTTACTGACTGCATACTCGTGGCAGAGAAACCCTCCCTTGTATTTCTTCAAAATATTCACATCTAGTTTTGACCCTTCACTTCAGGTGAGTCCAGCCAGGAGCACACTTTGGAATCTGGGGCCTACAGCAGCCTGCAGTACGTCTAGCTCCGTGTAGCAGAAAACACAAAATCACAGAAACTTCAACAGGGTAGAAGTTTATTTCTCGCTTGTGTGAAAGAAGCGCAGGTGGCCACAGCCCCAGGCTGGGGGGTCTGGGTCCAGAAGGGCTGGGCCCCAGGCCCCTTATCTCTTGCTGGCCCGTGGCTTCCGCCCCAGGACGGCCACTCTGCCCTGGGGAGGGAGGAAGCGACAGGAAGGGTGATGTGCTCCTGCCTCGAGGGTGCCAGGTGCCCTTCCTGCTCACACACCATTGGCAGAACTGAGTCCATAATCACCACCGTCACCCACCACCCCATTTTCAAAGGGAACGATATGAATGTTGAGGCTCAACCAGCAACTGCTCCCGCAGCTGGGAATGGGCAGTGTTGGGTGGGTTGCGAGCTGGGTCCTGCCCAGCTCCTGGGAGCTCCCTGCTCCGCTTCTCACTTCCCCTGTTACCTTCCACTCAGGTTACATTTTCTCCATTGAGATCTTGTAGAGCGTCTGTTAGATTGAATTGGTAAGTACCTAATAGTTTTTATTTATGCTTGTAATAAGTCATCTGTGGCACTTATATTTTCTAAATGGTCACCGTGGAGGAATGTCACTGGAACTTTCTGTCTGGTACTCTCTCATTCACTCTCGCTTTCTCAGCAGACTGTCATCCTGTGTGTTTAATGATGTTTTCCTTGTCCCCTCCTTCTGCATTTTGTCCCGTGCCTGGCTGGCTTGGTTTCAGTCTGCTCTGACCTATGTTGAAAATAAGAAGTGGTAGAAGGTATTCTCAATTTGTCTTGAGTTTTATTAGGTTGCTTTCCTACCGATTGAGTGAGCCTTTGGTTTCTCTTTTAATGTGCTAATGTGTGAATTACATTAATGTCTCTTATAAGTTCCAGTGATAAAGCCAAAAATAGTACATCATATCAGATAAGACGGGTAGTTTTTAACATGGTTGAATTGAGTTTACTAATATTTTCTTTAGGATTATGCATTTGTCCATATGTGACGAATTGTTTCTGTAATTTTTCTTTCCTATAATGCTCTTCCCTCGTTTTGGAGAAGTGAGCAGCTTTCCTTCTTTTTCTGTTCTAAAGAGTAATTGAGGGCCTCCCCGGTGGCGCAGCGGTTGAACGCTGGGCTGCAAAGCTGCCCGCAGCCTCTGCAGCTCCGGTTCAATCCCCGGCCACCGGGTGAGTGTCCCACATGGCGCGCAGACCTCTCCTGCCGCCCGCTGCTCCCCTCAGCAGTGTCCTTCGGTCCTTCTGCCTGCTCTGCTCCCCGCTCTGGCTCTGGTGAATTCTCTCACCCTCCCGCGCTTCTGACTGTACCCAGTGCTTGTATAAATAAATCTTTAAAGAGTAATTTGTATAATGTGGCAAGTCCTTCCAGGTTTTGTAGGCTTCACCTATAGAATTTTGTCAGGAAGATTTTTAACTGTTACTTCAAATTAGGGCCTCCCTGGTGACGCAAGGGTTAAGACGCAACGTATGAAGCAATCCTGCCAGCCAGGGAGTAACCCACATGGCACAGCAGACCTCTCCTGACTCGCCCACTGTTCCTCTCAGCAGTGTACTTCGGTCAATCTGCCTCTTTTGTTCCCCGCTCTCTCTGGTGAAACTTCTCACCTCCCACACCTCTGGCCTGTGCCCCAGCTCTTGTATGCATAAATAAATAAATCTTTTAAAAAAAAAAAAAGGGTAACAGTCTAAGCAGGTTTTCTGTTTCTTTTTATAACTTTTTACCAAAGTGTAACATATGTACAGAAAAGAAACCATTATATAAAAAGTACTTATCTGAAAAATGTTTCATTTATTTTAGTTTCATTATATTTGGTGCCTCCACATTGTTGTATAGCATCTGTTGTCTGTTTATTTTAGCAGCTGTAGAGTATTACTTTATATGAATATGTTATAATTTATCCACTCCACTTAATGGACCTGTGAGTAGCTTCCAGACTGGCTATTACAGGTAACCCTGCTGAGAACATTCTGGGCCAAGCCTTCTGGTGAGCTTTTCTTTGTGTCTGCATTGTCCGCGGTGGAGTTGCTGAGGCTCTCACACGTGTTCAGCTTTAATAGATGCCCCTGAACAGTTTCCAGAAGTGATGACCAATTTTTTCAATTCTCTTCTTCAGTAAGCTTTAGTCATTTCTATTTTTCTCGAAAATTATCTATTTCCATCAAAGGTATTGGTATGAATAATATAGTCTTATAATTTCTTATCCATTCTGTTTGGTTTTTTAAACAAAAGACACTAGGATTTATTGGTTCCCTCTAATGTGTCTTTGTTTTCCATTGTATTATCAATTATTCTTAATTTTCTGTTTCAGTCTCCTAATTTTTTGGGTTATTATTACTCCCTCTAACTTCTTATATTCAACTTTTTAACTTTCAGTCTTCATCTTCTTTAAGCCCAGTATTTTAAAATTGCACCAACTGCTTAATTAGGTCCCACAAGCTGTGCTAGGAAATGGTCTCAGTTTTATTAACCTTCAGTTAATTTTCTAATTTCCATTATGCTTTTTTTCCATTTTTGATTTCCAAATGTGTGAAATTTTGCTTGTCTTGTATGTTATATAATTTTGATATTATTTCTAATATCAGAGTAGTCATAGAAGATAGTCTGGTCAAGTTTATGTTTTGGTATTTATGGACATTTCCTACAGGATTTGAGCAGTCATTTTCTATAAAATTTTCATGCGTAATGGACGAGAATATATATTCTTTAAATACTGAATGCAGGCTATATATGTCCACTTACACTTGTGTTTAGTCTATAGTGTTACTAATTTTTGTCTGTTTAATCTGTCAGCATATGCTAAAAATCAAACATATGTCTGGATGTTTCTAATTCTCCTGTAATTCTACTAATTTTTGTTTCAGTATTTTGATGCTGTTGTGTTGTATATAAATAGCGTAGGTCTGTCTGGCCGAGGTCGTGCCTAAGAGCACCTTTCTGCCCTTGAGGTCTATTTATTTGACATGAGTCAGTACCAGCTTTCTTTGGTTAGTGGTTCTCAGATTTTACTTTTTCTATCTCTTTTATATTCGACTGCCTGTATCTTTACATTTTAGCTTTGTCAATCGTTGGGGGTATGGGAATGGGAGAGATTTCAAAATTCTGAATCTCAGCCTTTCAGCTAGTGAGTTTGTCCACGTGTGTTTATTGTGATTACTGATATATTTGAATTTACTTCAACCGGTATCTCTCCAGAACAATTTTGCATAATGTCTCTATTTTTAATTTCCCTCACTTTTTTGGGTGTCTTTTATAGTACCTCACTCTTGTAAGTCTTCCTTCTATATCTTTGTTGTTTTAAAACTTCTAATTTTATGGTTGTTTTCATATTGTTCTAAATCTAAGTGCTTGAGGACCTAACCCACCTATTTATTGTACTCCTGACTATTGTGATAGGTTTTTCCCTCCTTGGCTTTGTCATTTTGGAGTCTGAGTGTCTGTCCCTGGAGTTTCCTCTCTAAAGCCCCGGAGCCCCAGACTCAGAGGGTTTCATTTTGCACAGGCTTCTGCTTGGCTCTTTAGGTAAATCCATCTCTCACCTTAGACCCGTGTAACTTTTGAGGGACCTGTGTAACTTTTTGTGTAACTTTTGAGGGATTCCTCAAGCATATAAGCAGTGTGATTTGAACCCCAAGTTTGCCTGCTGCTCTCAGATCTCAGGCAGACCCATATTCCTGCTCTTTTCCTAAGGAAGAAGAGCTTTTAGGGTTTCTCACTTTCTTCCCTTCCCCGAGTATGCTGCTGTCTGAAGGTGGTATCTTTGAGCAGGCTGTGAGCTCAAAGTCTGCTTCTTTCAGACCCAAGGCCCGTTCTGCTGAACCCAGTGAAGTGGGTCCGGGGCAGCAGGACGGCAGAGTCCTGACACCCCGCCCTTGCAGATCACTGGCGCCTGCCCGTGTCCTGCACTTGTTTCCAGCACCTGGTGGCCTCCATGTCTGCTTTTTGGATCTGCCGTGCATGTAAAGGGTTTTCATTTTATCTGGCATTTTTAGATGTTTATAATAGGACTTTCAGGTCTTCTCAGTCTATCATTTTTTTAGAACTAGAAGACATTGAGAAATAGAGATTTAAGTTGATAAATTTCAGTACTGGCATGTGACTAAAAACATGCTATGCATGTTTTTCTTCACACATTGGGGTTTTTTTTTCCACTGATGGCACAGAATCAGGAAAAAATGACATGATGTCCAATCTTCAGTTACTCGTAGGGCCATTCAGAGGATGGTGCTGAATCTGACCTCTAGACCCCTTCTCAGAGTGACAGTGGGGACCCAGCAGAGCAGAGGTTGTGCCTGCTGTGTCTCTGCGGCCTTGTGGAGCCAGAGGGCACAGAGCACCTTGGCAGTGCCCATTCCCTGTCTTCTCTGTGTGCACCTGCTTAGAGCACAGTTTGATCCTGCTGCCTGAGCCATGGTGTGACACCTACCTGGGTGGCTTGCAGACAGCAGATCAGTATCACGTTTATTTACTAGTCTACAGATGGGCCTGCATCACAAGTGAACGTGCCTCCTACGTGGTCCACCCTCCTGATCACTGTGTGTGGATCTCTTTCAGGGAGGAATGATCAACTGGAATCGTCTTTTCCCTCCCTTACGTCAGCGACGAAACACGAACTATCAGGATGCTCGGCGGTCTGAACAGCAAGCATCCCCTCCTCTAGAGGTTTCTGAGGAACAGGTAATCACGAGCACCTGGCACTTATCCTCTGTCCGTGCTTCAGACTTGTAGCTCTTCTAGTGAACAGAACATGTAAGAAACCAAAGCATAATCATACAGAGGTTTTTCCATAGCAGCTAAACTGCCACTTGTAATAGTGCCAGCCACTGTGGGTCTTAGGAGAGCAAGAGAGGCCTGATTTGGGGGGGGGGGAGTGTACTGTGATCGCTGATTTAAAAGTCTCTAATATTGTACATGTACTAGAAGTGACTGCAGCTGGACCCCGCGTGCAAGGGTAGGAGGAGGGGGCGGGACGTCCAAGCAGATGGTGTCTCCCAGGGTACACCTTCTGGACTTTTGGAGTCAAGTTATAGTTTACTTACACAAAGAGCAAATCAACAGTGACGGGGACAATCATGCAAGTAAAAGGAGGCAGAAATAAATAAGTGCCCCAACTGTGTTTTAAATGAATAACAAAATCATACGGAAGGGGGAAATTAATTTCAGTAACTTTCGAACATACTGTACCCTCAGTCTAAAGAAAAACAAGTTGTCAATTCTTTGTAGGTTTAGTTTTGTGATGTGAGTGCAGCAACTCTGACGTTGTGTTGTGTATATCATAGATGTGAGCACGTGAGGAAACAGGTTGAGCTTCAGGTGAAAGAAGGAAACACAAGTGCAGGACAGGGAAAAGCACCAGACCCTGCTGGGTTGGATGGAATCAGAGGTGTCACCATTAACTCGTGATGTGGAGTGTGTGTGTGTACTTTATGGAATGGGTGTACACGGTTATGTGCATGTAGACTGTGCGTGTGTGGAGTGTATATGTGGTGTATGCAGGTAAAGTGTGTATAAATGTGTGTGCATGTATAAAGTGTGTGCTTATAGTGTGTGCACGTCATGTGCACATATGGAGTGTGTGTACCTGTAGAGCGTGAGCGAGTATGGAGTGTGTGTATATAGACTGTATGTGCATGTAGAGAATGTCGGGGTGCATGTATACTAACTCAGAAGCTGTGGCCTCCCTGTAGCCCTCATTTCTGCATCTTATTTCCTTGGCTGAACGATAAGAACCAGCCTCTTTTGAGAAATGCTGGGTCCCAGGCCAGGATAGGGAAGGCCTGAGATGACCCTGGGCCCCCTTATGCAAGGAATGAAGGAAGCTCCATAACTGAGGGCCTTGCCACAAAGTTGCAGGGATCAGTTCTAGGGGGTCCCCCTGGCCAAATCCAGGACATCAGGTTTGAGCATCAGGACAAGTAAGGACAGTGCTATAATAGGATCTACTGGGGAGATGGGGGCGGGGGCTCCTCGTTGATCCTGATGTTGGCAGGAAAATAAGTATTATGTGACGATTATGCATCGGGAAATGCTTTTCTTCCAGCGGAACCTAAAGTAATGCAGAAAGAGCAATAGCACAGGAAGATCACAGTTTTCTAGCTAAAAGAATAAAAGTCACTACAGGGAAGAATCATGAATATGTGAAGGACAGGCTCTTTATGTAACCTCAGAGTGGGTCCCCGCCAGTTACTTACTAATCACAGAAGGAGAATAGCCACTATCCGGTGGAGACATTGGACCCCCGCCGAGCCAGGTCATTCGTTGGTCAGTATTCCCGACAGTGGAGCAGAGCGGTGTGCGGGCCGGCCAGGTGCCACAGCCTTCCGGGCACAGGTGCATGACCTTGATCACAAGGAAACCAGACTGACCCCATCTGAGGGGCGTTCTAGAGACAGCCGGCCTGTGTCCCCAACAACACTGATGTCCCAGCCACCCCGGATTAAAGAAGGCCGGAGGCTCTCTGCCCACACGCGTGCTCGGCTCTGGCCCGGATTCTGTGCTGGAGACATTCTTTATAAAAGGCCCACTTTCGAAAACACATGATGCCGTTGGGCTCTGGATTAAACAATAGTCTCATATTAATGGCCTGTTTCTGGGTTTTGGTATCTACACTGACCATCGTTAGGGGCAAGAATAATACCCTTGTGTTTGGGCAATTCATGCTTAAGTACTGCAGGGCAAAGGGTTATGCTTTATGCAACTTAGTGTCAAATGTCTCAGGAAAAAATGTGTGTGTGTGTGTGTGTGTAGACAGAAAGCAACTGTGGCAAAATAACAGTGATCCTGGGTGAAAAGTAATCAAGGATTCTTGGTGCTGTTCTGGCAATTTTTTGAAAATTTGTATTTCAAACTAGAACGTTAGCCCCCAAAATCTATGCAAGTAAATCTAGTGTGTGGCAGTGACACGTTCCAAGTCACCTCCATACCGTCGGCTTTCTCCTTGAGAAAGCAGATCCAGGTCAGCATTGCTTAGCAGCCATATTCCCAGCCCCTGCCCCCAAGGGGCCACTCACCAGGCTGTGTCCTGGCTGGCTTTTTCTGGAACACAGAAGGCCCCTAGTAGGGTTCCCACTGCCTCATCTGCACTAGGACACACAAATGCTTTTGAGAGCACCATCGGTGCCCTGTGGATGGCCCTGCATCCCCCCTTCAACTCCCCTGCCCCCAGCTCAGGCTGAGCCCCTCAGCCACTCTAAGGAGCGAGAGGTGGGCCAAGGAGCTGCCATCTGTCTCCTGCGTTTGAGTTTTCTTAGGAAAATGACGCTTCCACAGATTAGGAAATAAAGCTCAGTAACTTAGCTGGTATGGTACTTGGAGGAACATTAAAAAATAAGCCAATAATCTCAAATTCAAATGAAAAGAGATAGAGTTCTATTCTGTTGACTCAATAAAACTTTGAGTCACGGCCGCTAACACTAGGAAGTGTTTGAAGGTGTGATAGTTCTTAGTTTTGGCACTTTGAAAAAAAAGTGTCAAAAAGTGATAACCAGGAGAATGTGTGCAACTGAAGTCTTGAGGGTGTTTAATGAATCATTTACCTTGCTGCTCCCCAAATAACATAAGTGGGGTTAACTTGTTGACATCGGTTGGAAATGGCATTCAACTCTTCCTTTCCCCGTCAGAAAAACAGGTGACTGCAGGAGAGGATGTTTTTAACATGTGCTCCCTTAGCCACTGATTTTCTTAACCTTGATTTTTATGTTTCTTGATTATCCTGAAATGGCGTCCCAGACCGCCAGCCCCCACGACGGGGCTCCCTGGCCTCGTTCATCAGGGAAACTCCTGTGGTCCTTGTGGCAGGTGCTCAAGACTGGAAAAGATAAAAATATGCTGTTCTTGCCCTCAAAGCATTTATAATAATGTTTAGAAACCTAGAGTCAGCGTGTCATCTCCCGGTTAGCTCGTTGGTGCGAGACACTCTCCGAGCTACCCCATTAGAAACATGCCGTGCTGGCTCCGACGGGCAAAGCCGCGTGTGCCTCATTGTTCAATTAAATGTGCTTATAGTTCCTTCGTCTTAGACTTTAAGTACGTTAAGAAACTTAGCAGTTTTCTAAACTGAGACAAGTAGAAGTGATCGTGTTTTTTCCTAGGGTAAGCAAATACCTTGGGAGTTCTAGGGAGTCCTTTAAGATAAGACGTGGAGCTCGTGGATTTTGAAAACAAGATTTGAGAAAGGACCTGGTCTGCCTGGCCAGTGGGAGCGCGCCACCCTTTCTGTGTTTGCGGTTGTTTCTGGAACTTTCCTTCTTCTAGAGTGACTGCTGTTTTCAGTGAGTCCACCTGCAGCCCCTTCACCAGTTCATCCCCTCACAGGCGCCGCTCCGGCCCATCTTAGAAATCTGCCAAAAGTGAGCACCTTTTAATAGTCAGCCGTCTGCCAGCTTACAAGTAACATGCACTCATTCCGTTTCTCTTTTTTTCTTTTTAACCAGGGATTTTCATATTATACCCATATTTAAAATTAACAAATAATGAAATTTTGTCACCTTGCCTTCATTTTTTTTTTAATCAAAAGAAAAAAAAAACTTACCAAATTTAACCCTCTTGAGCCCTCCCCAGGCTTGAAACATGACCTTGAACTTTGTCCTTATTGGGACACATCAGGTAGTTAAACAAGAAGTCACCAGACTTGACGAAAGGGAGATAAGCAGCGACTATTACAAATCCCCACTTCCTCTCACCCATTCACGACTTTCCCTTCTTTTCAGTCCACCCACAGTTACCAACTCTGCACCCACTTATCACTGGCCAGGCCCTTGAAGTGCAGAGAATGATCATGTACCGTCCTTGCACACAGGTCGTTCAGCACTGGTGGAGGGAGCCTGGCACAGAGGTAACACTGGCATCTCTGCAGAAATGTCCCAGGGCTGCTGAGATCAATTGAGAAAGGGGTGCCATGCTGGGGCAGAGGCCCTGGCATTTGTTAGTTTGTGGCATGGTGAAAAGTGCACCCAATTTGGGGAAGCACAGACGACTGAGGTCGGTGGTCAGGGTCACTGGTTGGGTAAGGGCCTGCCCCCAGGCAGCTGCTGCATGGAAAGGGGCGAGAGAGGCCTTCTGGCGGGCACGGACTGTGGTCTCTGACACTGGTACATTGCAAAGGGGTTTTCTAACAAAATGCCAGAGTTCATGCGTTAGAATGAAATACTGATCATTCACATTCAAGCAAATGTCAGTCAGTCAAGTAATGTATTACCTTTTGTGGGTGCCTGAGTCTTTGGGGTGCCCTAAGAAATGGAAGCATGCAGTGAGGACTTTCACACATGCAAAGGTGAGGAGCCACCCGGCAACCTAGAGGGGGCAGGCACATGAAGACAACCAGAACCCCTGTGCTCGGCCAGCAGGCGGGCTGGGGGCCTGCGGCACTGAGGAGTATATTGGGGTGAGACCGCAGGGAGCAGCCGTGATCGGGGACGGTGGGTGGGAAGGAGGTTCGCACTGATAAATGACTAGCGAGAGTCGCGGTGCAGGGGTGGTGGGGGCTCAGCCCCCAGGGCTCCCTGAGTCCCCCTGCAGGGCAGGCCTGGAGTCCTAGGAAGTCGCCCACCACCCGTGGACCACCCAGCAGGCTTGATTTCAGGTGGACATAACGTCTGCAGCGATAGAATCTGGGAAGTAAGAACCCAAAACCATTTGTTTTTGACAGCCGTAGGCAAAGGGAAGTTAAGGAAACCGCA